GCGCCCCCCCCCCGCCCCACCCCCAGCCCCACCCCCAGCCCAGCCCCAGCCCCACCCCGGCCCCACCCCGGGGCACAGAGCACGCTGGGGACAGTCGCTGGTGTCACCCTGGCTGGCAGAAATGTGTGAGGTTGTTCCATCACAGCCAGCCGGAGGCGTTTTGGCCTCCAGGGACGCTTTGCTCATTGTAAAACCCCAAACCTGTCTGTTCCCACCCACTCACAGGGTGTTCGGACACATCCGAATTGCAAAATAAAAGCCTTTCTTGAGTGCAAAAGGGGGGAAAAAGAAACAAAAATCTACGAAACCGGGAAATCCCAGCTGATTTGGAATTGATTCATGCCCTGAGCGGTGCTGGGGAAAATCTCGGTGGGTCACAGCTCCCTGGGCACGTCCTCCCTCTGAAGCCTGTCCCAGGAGCCATCCCCCGCTAAATCCCGCCGCTTTCTTGTGACAATGAAATCCGGCAGCGAATTCCTGCTCGGGGCAGGAAATTGGAGCTTCCCAAAAAACAACAAAAACCCCTCCCAGCAAAAGGCAAACGGCTCCGGCCGTGCCCCCGGGGCAGAGCAGCAGCGGTGGCCGAGGAGGGGCAGCTCCCGGCCCGCAGGGATCCCCGCTCCGCACACGGAGGAGGAGGAGGGCTGGAATGGGATCAGGAGGGACATCCTGGCCTTGGCAGGAGCGGGATTTGGCCTGGAATTCAGACACAACCCCCCCAGCTGCCTCCCCAAGCTGCCTCCCTGCGTCACAGAGGTCCCTGGGAACCCCTCCAGATGTTCCAGCTCAGGGAAAAGCAGGAATTCACCTGGGAATGTTATTTTGGCGTTGGGATTTCCAACCTTTTTCCCTCTGAATCCCTGCCCAGAGATGGGAACTCAAAGCCAGCCCTGATTGTGGGCAAAATTCACCTTCCCAAGTGCCCGATCCTGCCCCAAACCGGGCCAAAAGTGGGGTGTGGGTGTCCCCCCTGCCCCGTGCCGTACTCTGACGTGCTGGTGGGCGAGCTGCTCCACTTGCTGCTGGTGCAGGCTGGCCAGGAAGAGCTGGTGCTGCAGCTGCTGCTGCTTCAGGGCCAGCAGAGCCGTGTCCTGGGGCTTGACCACGCGCTGCCCGATCCTCAGGTCCATGGGGACGGCCTGGGGCACCCGCGGGGAGGTGCACGGGGTCACAGCAGCTGTGGGGACACGAAGGGACACGGCTGAGGCACGGGAGCTGTCCTGCCACCGAGAGGGGTTTGCCACGGAACCTCTGCCTGCAGAGCCTCCCCCATGGGCTGGGAAAAGAGATTCCTGTAAATCGCAGTCCTCTGGAGAGGCTCCGGGGTGCTGCAGGTGCCTCTCTCTGACACCAGGGTGGAGAAAAGCTCTGGAGTGAAAATGTTCCCTGCACAAGCTCCCCGAGGGTTGTCTCAGGGGTTTCCCTGAGGCTGTCCCTTCCCGGGGAAAAAAGGGATGGGAAGGGCTTGGGAGGGGAAAAAGGGGTGGGAAAGGCTTGGGGGGGCAAAAAGGGATGGGAAGGGCTTGAGGGGGGAGGAAAAGGGGTGGGAAGGGCTTGGGAGGAGGAGGAAAGGGATGGGAAAGGCTTGGGAGGGCAAAAAGGGATGGGAAGGGTTTGGGACGGGAGGGAAAGGGATGGGAAGGACTTGAGTGGGGAGGAAAAGGGATGGGAAGGGCTTGGGAGGGGACGGAAAGGGGTGGGAAGGGCTTGGGGCACCCCAGGTGAAGGAGGGGCTGCTCCAGACACCCCCGGGAGGGGTTTGGGGCCGCAGCCGGCGGCGCAGAGCCCGGAGGGAAGCACTGGCGGGGTCTCTGGGAATCTCTCCCTCCATCATTTGTTTCAGTCTCTCCAAAAACAAACTGCGAGGCGGCGGAAGCGGAGCAGGGAGGGATGGGGGGGTGCTGGGGGAGAGGGAGGCCGGGCAGCAGCCAGAAAAACAACTCCTCACCACCGGAGCCAGGAAAAAGCCGTCGAGCATCCCCAGGGCCAAGAGGAGCCAGGGAAGAAGAGGCTGCGTGGTCCCCGCTCCTGCCACGGCCCCCAGCTCTGCCCACCCCGCTCTGGGGATGTCTGAGAGGATTTCCAGGATGAGAAAAGGCACCCGGGAGCGGGGCCTGGCCTGACGTGCCCTGGGGTGTCCCAGCCACGATGCTCCTGGCCAGGCTGAGGCCACCAAACTCAGGGCGCTTTTCCAGAGCTTGGAAACACAAAACATCCCACGGCCGGTGCCAGGGCGGTGCGGGACGAGGTGGCACCGGGAGGGAAACCCGGGCTCTGGGCAGGAGCCACTGGCCCCACACCGGGACCCTCGGGGAACCTCCACGAGCCTCAGCTCCGGACCCCCCTCCCAAAGCCCCTCCTGCCCCCGGGAGCTGTTTGTGACCTCCCTCTGCAGCTTGAATTCATTTGGGGTTTGCTGCCGGGCCCTGGGCCAGGAGTTACAGTGAACAACCCCCTCCTGCATGATCCAGGGGCTGGCAGCCAAGCCGGCGGCTCCTCCCTTTCCCCCCACCCCAAAAAAGCCAAAAGTAAAGCCCCAGCACGGGGGGCTTTGTCCCTGTCCCTGTCCCCAACCCAGCCCAGGTCCTGCTGGTGTCCAGCAGACCCTCAGAAGCCACCAGGACACGTGGCTGGGACTGGGATCACAGTTTGGGACTGGGATGCAGAATCTGGGACCGGGATCAGAGTTTGGGACCGGGATCACAGTTTGGGACTGGGATGCAGAATCTGGGATTGGGATGCAGAATCTGGGACCGGGATCAGTGTTTGGGACTGGGATCACAGTTTGGGACCGGGATGCAGAATCTGGGATCGGGATGCAGAATCTGGGACCGGGATCAGCGTTTGGGACTGGGATCACCAGTCTGGGACTGGGATCAGAGTTTGGGATCAGGATGCAGAATCTGGGACAGGGTTCACAGTTTAGTACCAGGAGAGCCGTGGGCCAGGAGCCCATGGCACAATCCATCCCTGGGCCAGCAGCCGCAGATCCAGCCCGTGGATCCTCCATGGGAAAGGGAGGTTGTGCCACGGAGCCTCCCCGCGGTGCCCTGGGAAAGCTGGGCGGGGGATGAATGAGGGCTCTGTGCTCCAGCCCCAGCACGGGTTACCAGCATTTTCCAGGCTACCGGCACGGAACGGAGCAGGGAACGCGGCCGTGAGCTGGGACAGACACGGAGGGAGGGCCGGGACAGCCCAGGCCAGGGTGGGGAGCCCCACCTGGCACCTCCCAGGCTCCTGAGGAGATTTGGGACAGGTGGCAGCGAGTTCCCCAGGCTGGGGGTGGCAGTGCTGGGCTGGTGTCACTCGGGACACGCAGCTCCCAGCCAGGATCCCGGAAAAGAGAAAACAAAACAAAACCCCAGCACAGAAATCTTTGCTTTGGCATTTCCTGATTGTTTTTAAAGAGGCAAATCAGCCGTCAGCAGAGCTGGGCTTATATAAGAGGGAAACAAAGCGGGAGGCAAACAAAGCAGGGCAGGAAGATTATTGAGGAGCAAACCAGTGGCGTCCCAGCTCTGCTGTTCTGTGCATCCCTGGCTGTATCCTGCTTGTTTCCCTGTCTATATCCCTGTTTTTCCCTGCTTGTTTCCCTGTCTATATCCCTGTTTTTCCCTGCTTGTTTCCCTGTCTATATCCCTGTTTTTCCCTGCTTGTTTCTCTGTCTATTCCTGCCTATATCCCTGTCTATATCCCTGTTTTTCCTTGCCTGTATCCCTGTTTTTCCCTGCTTGTTTCCCTGTCTATCCCTGTCCTCATCCCTGTTTTTCCTTTCCTGTATCCTTGCCTGCATCCCTGTTTTTCCCTGCTTGCATTCCTGTTTCTCCCTGTCTATATTCCTGTTTTTCCAAGCCTGTATCCCTGCCTGTTTCCCTGTCTATATTCCTGTTTTTCCCTGCCTGCATCCCTGTTTTTCCAAGCCTGTATCCCTGTCCTCATCCCTGTCCTTATCCCCGCGGTGGAGCAGCACTTCAATCCAGGCTGGGTTTTGTTTTTTTTTTCCCCATCTCTTTTATAAAAGCGTTTCCCATCTTGGGCTGATGGGCTGCGAAAGGTTCAGAGTTCAGGCGGGTTGAAGAATGCGGGTGATTAAAAACATTCCTCCCCAATAAAAGGGAAAAGGTCTTCTCCAGAGCCTCGTGCAGGGAGCGGGAATGAGCTGGAGGGAGCTCGCTCAAATTAAAAACACTTAAATAAGAAACCACACCAAAAGGACGATGTTGAAAGAACGCGGAGATCACAAAGGGAGAACTCGAGAAATAGGAAATCCCGGAGCTGGGGGACCTCGTTTAACCCCGCCGGGCCCCGGGGAGTTTTAATGAGGGACCAAACGCTGCTCCACAGAACGATGAGAGAAAAATCCCCAAAGCCACCCGGCCCCAGCTTTTGGGGGGACACTGGGGACCCCCAAAAGGTGCCCACGCATCCCTTTGTCCCTTACATCCATCTGCTCGTGTGTCCCCGAGGGGTCTCCTCGCGGGATCCCACAAAATCCAAACATTTGGGGCATTTTGCTCCTTCCTTTCCTTAGCACAAAGCTCTGGAGGTGGGAGCTCCAGGGGTGGGAGCTCCAGGGATGCAGGGATGGGAATTCCGGGGATGGGAGCTCCGGGGATGGGAGCTCCGGGGATGGGAGCTCCGGGGATGGGAATTCCGGGGATGGGAGCTCCGGGGATGCAGGGATGGGAGCTCCGGGGATGGGAGCTCCGGGGAAAGCAGCTCCAGGGAAAGCCCTGCAGAGCCTCAGCTGTCCCCACATGGAGAGAGCGCCGGCCACGTCCCGCAGGAGCCATAAGAGAGCAGCTGATGCTCAGGGAAGATGTAATGTTTGTAATGTTTGTAACGTTTGGAGCAGCTGGGTGCCAAGTTCTGATAACTCCTTCTGGAGCTCTGGGAGTTTCAGGGGCTTTACGCCTCAGCCAGATGTGTGTGGATCCCTCCCCTCCCCAAATTCCTGCTCCAAAACCAGACCAGGCTGATGCTGCTCCAAGAAAAGCCCCCTGAGAGTTTTTCCACCAGGGTAAACCCAAATTTTTCTGCTCTGATTCTTGCAAACTTCCTCCTGCAGAAAGTTTCCAGAAAAATAAAATAAAAATTTTGAGACAGACGATGATTAAAGTTTGGCAAAGTCACCGGAGCAGCACAAAACCCTTCCCCACAACCAAAGGCACGAACCAGGATTCAGCCACACACCCGAACACGCCGTGCACCTGTGAGCACAGCAGCTATTGACACATTCCAAGCACAAAAAATGGGAATATTCCCTGTTGGAGCCTGGGAACAAGCTCCACATCAGGCCTGAGGAGGCAGAGCAGGGCGAGATGCTTCCCCTGAATGCTCTCCCTGCTTATTTGCAGCTCGTGACCTTTGAGTCAGACATTTCATAGCCCTCCCTGGAATTTTCTCCCCACAAATGTGCACATTTCATTTATAAACTCGTGGCTCTGGGACCCAAAAGCCTTCAGGGCCAGAGTCCAGGGACAGGGAGGAAACACCTTTGGGCCTGGATGTGCTGCTGGTTTGAACACTCCCTGTCCCAGTGAGAATCCCGGTTCCGAGGGGACCACGCTGCTCCCATGGAGAGGATGGGGCAGGATTCCATCTCCAAGATGCACAGGGAACTCCTCAGGGCTAAATCAGACACTCCTGGAGGTGACCCAGGTCTGTGTTTCAAGGCAGCTTTTCCACACGCTCTCAAATCCGTGTTTAGATCGGATTTTTAAATTTTAGATGGAATTTTGCCTCCGGGGCGAGGGTGGATCCCAAGGTAACCCCACATCCACTGAGCTGCCCCAAAGCCCCAAACCTTAACAGTGGACACAAACTTCACCTCAGGCACTGCCCAAACCACCAAACAGCTTCCTTCCTGCTCCTTCCTGCTCCCAGAGGAGCTCCCTGGATGCTGCTCCTCTCCCAGGGATGAGCTTTGAAATCCTCCAGAGCACCCAGCCCTGAACGTGCCGAGGCAAAACCCCGCAGCAAAAAACCTTCGGCCCTAAATTTGAGCTCTCAGGGACACCCAGGTACTAAACCCACAAGAAATTCTGGGCACGGGCAGGTCGGAGCTGCCTCCCGGGTCCCACAAGATGCGGTTTGAGCGTGGGCAGCAGCAGCAGGGATGAGGAGGGGATCAGAGGGTTCATCTCCTGCAGCCGCAGCCGGGCTTTGGGAGCGCGG